TGAGACTCCTGAGACCCCAGAACTTAAACTGCTTAAACTGGGTTCAAAATCAGTTTGAAAACTTAAGAATGTCAAAACAGTCAAAGTTTGTGTTTCGCAAAATTAAAATCTACGAAATCTGTTGGTCCTCAAAAACGAAGATCTGATATTTGAAGTCTGAAGTCGAAGACACTTAATATTAAAAATCTTGAATTATGCTTAAGCATTCATAGTTTAAAAAATCATTAGATTGTGAAAATGTAGGTTTTAAAACATGTTTTTTTTTATCGGAATATTTTAGGCTGTAAGAATTGGGGTGTTGTTAATTGTGATTGAACATATTTATTTCAATGTGTAAATGTATATCTATTTCAGACTAAAGCTGTAACATGATCAGGATTCTAATGAAATCTAATCCAAGCTAAACCTTAGACCGGAGTTTTTGAGCTGGTTCAAGACGAACCCGGAGCTCCTCTGTATTCAGTGAACCTTGATAAGCTCCGGTAGTGCAAAGTGAACCCAACCCAACCTAGTTATCCAACTACTGGTATGAGGTGAGGATTGTGAAACTCCGGAGCTAATTATTATGTCGACGACCCTGATCAGTGGTCCGTTCCAGAGGTTGGGTTCCATCCGACTCTCCTTGACAACACGGAAGGAACGGATCAGAAAGAATCAGGAACGGATTCAGGCGATCCAACAAACACAGATCATTTATGAAAACAGAAACTCAGGTAGGAAGCCCCCTGTAGGATGCTTTAAACATTTACCCCCTGCCCTCTCTCCCCTTTCAATATTTACACCCTCCCTTACCCCTCCCTCTTTACCCCTTTTAACAATTTCTTTATGATAGTTATTGGTTATGTTTGGTAGGAGGAAAAATATCCAGGATAAACTTCATGCTATGCAAATTACAAAACTTTTTTATTTATTTTTTTTATCTTAAACCTAACTCTTGAGACTTTTTTTCTGAAGTTTAGTAGTTAGATTTTATTTGATTTTTTGTAATATTTTTATTTGAAAAATCATTTGTCAATCTTACAAAAACAAAATTGTTTTTCAAAATAATTCAATATTTTTCTGAAATTAAATTTGTTG